GGACGCCTGCAGCGGCGCGGGCTGCGAGGCCGCGGCCGACCTGGCCAACGGGCAGCCCGGCTTCAAGAGCAACATGCCCCTGGCGCCCGGGCAGTTCTAGGCCGCGGCTCCCTTCCCCGGAGAGCCCGTGGGGGGACGGGGGCGGGACGGGAGAGGGGCAGCGGCTTTTCTGGCAGGGGCATGGGTGCCAGGTACAGCGCGGAGAGCTGGGCCGAGCATGCCGACAGCCTGGGGACCCGACCCGGCCGGGATTTCCGTCTCTCTCTCTCTCTCTCAATTCCCTCTCTGTATATATATCGAGCCCCTCTCTCTGTGTATTTAACTGTGGGTAGACGTGCGTGTGTCTGTGCGGTGTACGTGTGGTCTGCATGTGTGCGTGCGTGGGCGGTGGAAGGGTGTGCGCCCAGGAAGCGGCGGCCGGGGCCTTGTTTGTCTCGTGACTTTGTACCTCTCCAGCCCCTCCTTGTTCTTCGATCGACAGTGGCACTTTGACGGGGTGGGACACAAAGTCAGACATTAAAGATCCTTTCTCCTGCGTGGCTCTGTGTAGTTTGTGAACAGGGTGGGCGGCAGCACGGGCGTGCCCTGATCCTAGGCCTTACGGTGCGCTTTCAATAACGCTGCAGCGGTCTGTGGGTAATAATTATGCTAGGTCCCCTTGGGTCTGTTTCTGCCTGTGCCATTACTGTTCTCCAGAGCTAAATAAATCTGACCCTGTGGCTGAAACTGACCCCTTGGACTTGCCCCATAAATCCTGCTTCCTGCTTGGGATTCTTGGCACAGTTTAAATCCCCCCCTTCCTGCCTCTTCCTGTTGTAACCAGCGCTAGGCAATGTCTGGCCGGCCACTGATCCCTAAGACCCCCATTTCTAGCTGGAGCTCCCAGGCCAGTACCCTAGGTAGGCCTGTCCCCCCAGAGGACCCAGGCGACTCAAGACCAGGTCTCTTCCCTGCTTCTCCCTTGTTTGCCTGTGCCCCCTGGCCCTGGAAAGAAATCCAGACTGCAGGAGCCACAGTGAGAAACACGCTCGTGTAGGAAATCCCTCTCCAGCTCTGCTAACTTGTGAACCTGCCTGGGAGAGGAGCACTGAGGAAGGTCGAGAGTGGGGTGCAGAACATCAAGAAGAGAAGCAGCTTCATCTCTGCCCTGATGCTCCTGTGCCGTAGAACCAGAAGATAGTAAGTCCCCGTGTCCGGATCTTGGTTTCCTATGTGTGTATTGGTGGAATTGATTCTTAAGGTTTTCTGCACATCTAAAAGCCCCAGGTTGGCGAAGAAGATAAAGGATGAGGAGCAAAACAAACTTTTTAATTCTGAAACTCAGAAAAAGCATAAGAAGACTTCCTGTCCCCTATCCTTACTTTGCTTTTCTAAATTAAGCTTCAGAATTTTTCAAATGGCAAAAGCCGCTCCCAGTAACACTGCTACATCCATCATTCATTCTGAAAGTGGACCAAAACAGAACACGCTTCAGAGGGGGAGAGCCAGCTCACGTCACTGAACCGCACCAGGAGATCAGGCATGGCTAGATCTGGGGACTTCAACTGTGTCTTAGTTGGTCTTTGACTGTCGTGTAGCTCCCATCTTTTAGCTCCATTTGTCTTTGTAGGTCACCCTTGTTTTCTTAATGGAATCAACTTCCTCACACCACTCTTTTCTTTTTTTTTTTTTTTTGAGACGGGGTCACTGTGTACCTCCAGCTGACCTTGCACTCACTGTGTAGCCCAGGCTGGCCTTGAACTCTCTGCAATCCTCCTGCCTTAGCCTTCTGAGTGCTGGGATTACAGGTGTGCACCACCACACTGGGCCTTCGAACCATTCTTACAGCTGATGGCCCCCAAAAGGAAAAATAGGACTACACGGTTCTGCCACAAAAAATGAAAAAAAGAAATCCTGGGAAATGAAAGACTCTACTTCATAGACCCCCTTTAAAGTGCTGCCGAGAGCCACACGCATTTCAGAAATATACGCATGAGAAAAATGACACCAATTTCACACAGTGTTAAGTACCCTGGCTGTGTCTAAGATCTCATGAACAAAGTATGATATCGCAGACACATAGGTTACATGAACTGACCCAGATTTTAAGAATTATTTGGACCAATCTCCTCGTTTCTGCAGATGAGGAGACAGCGCTGAATAGCTTGATCAAGTTGAGCCCCAGCCAGAACTGGAACCCAGGTCTTCTCCCACCCTCTTCAGCGCCTTTCACATCCTGCTGTGCTACCATTCTGACCCTGAGCTGAGGACATCCTCCAAAAGAGAGTGCGGAGGATGGAGAACCAGGGGCCTTGGGAAAAGAACAGCTTGAACCCCATTCCCAGGGAAGAAGAAATCGTTTGTCAAGTCCTCCAAAACCTTTTGTTAGCAACACAAGTCTTCTTTCAAATCAGCCTCACGTAGGCTTTTGAGTGAGGACAGCCCCCAGCCTCCTCGGCCTCCTTTTTCCCTCAGTCCTTCAGGTGACCCGCCCCTCTGACCTGGGGCTCCAGCAATGACCTCTAAAAACCGCTGGTCTGGTCAGAGGGGAAGAGATGTGGCATCGGTAGGAACTGGGTTCAGGCCTTGGCTCTGTGTGACCTTAGGCCGTTCATCTCGTTTCTTTGGACTGTTTCCCCATCTGGTGAATGGACACGCTCTTCATAGCGCACTAGGAGGCACGGAGGGGCCAATGAGATTAAGGCACTAACCAGTGACGTACACATGACCAGGCAGATGCAAGCTACCATTTGGACATTGGGCATGTGAAGTCCCAAGTACCAGGGGTGTTTCCTGAGCTGCTCCAATCTAATCATTTCCTTGGTTAGTGGTGGTTAGAGGTCACTCAGGCAGCACAGCGAGGAAGTGGCAGTCTCCTGCCTCTTTCCAGAAGCAAGACTGGCCAAGCAGTGGCTCACATCGCCCAGGGAGCTGTGATAAATCTGGGCTCCTGCTCTTCCCCTAGCCAGAGCCTGTGTGCCAGGTCCCTCACTGAGGCCACGGGGCAACGTTCATCAAGAGCCACTGAGGCAGACAGGGCTCTGCTTGCATCTCCCATAAGGCTGCAAAGCAACTCTACTTTGCCCTCTCCGGCCACCCAAACACTGTTGGCCATTTGTCACCCCGAGGCATACACAGGGGTAGATCTGCCAACTGAGGTGAAGAGGTGAGGCGCTTGGCAGGCCCAGGTAATAAATAGCTCCTCCGCCAGACCTGGGTTCCAATCCCACCTCTGCCACTTAGCAGCTGTGTCACATTGAGCAACTCATGTCATAAGTCTAAACCTCAGTGTCCTTAAGTATAAGACAGGAAAACAAAAGCATCTACATCAGAGGAACGCTGAGAGGGTCAAATGAGACCATGTAAGGCATTTAGTGAGCATCCCATCACAGTGGCCATTGGCAGAGGTATTAATTATTCAATTATTCACTTGGATATATGAAATTTAGACAAATAAATATACAGGAACCACAAACCATTCAGTTTTGTTCATTAAATTCCAGAATTTTAAGACTCAGGATTCACCTTTAAAAAAAAAAAGGATGTAAGGGCCTGGGGATGTAGCTCAGGGATATATGGTAGCTGGATTTGATCTACAGCTTCACAAAAAGTGGGGAGTGGGGAGGGACCACCTAAGTTTATGACAGAGTAAAAGAATTTTGCATCCTACAATGTATAAAGAGGAGATTGGCCCAAACTAAAAGTAAAAATACAATGTAATACAAGGTATAGAACATTTCAGATGACAACGCCAGCATGGGTCTTTAGGACAGTTTACATGTGCTTGAAGGTACTGGGAAAGGGGACATAGGACATGAGCCCCAAGCATACTAGGTTCCAGTCCCAGGACTCCTACCTAGACCACGTACATCCCCTCTTCAGGCTGATCACCTTGTATGTAAATTGATGATATGCCTAGCACCGACCTCCCAAGATTGGAATGAAATAAATAAGACAAGATATGAACGAGTCAGCACAGAGCAGGCACTGTTGTTTATTAACTGTATATCCTCATTTCAGCAGTTCTTCACTTTTCCTGGATCAGCAGCTCCTCTAAGAAGCAGAGGAAAGCTACAAAAAAAAAAAAAAAAATGAACATAGCGAGTTCAAGGTTCACCTATAATTCATGCCCCCCAAGTATCCCCAAGTTATAAACTTCTCAACATAACTCCACACTGATAAACAAAAATAGCCAAATGCAGAGAGAATGTACAAGAGTGATAAATCTAGCCCCACATTAGACACACAAATACAACATAGAAGGAGGCCAAGACTCAACCCTCAAAAACCTCAGCCTGCCTGAGAGCTGTCCCAGGCAAGTGTGCCACAGGAGTAAGATGGTCCACCGCCGTCCTCTCTCGGTGAGAACACCCCATCAACTCCATCCTCTTCCTGGGAAGAACTTACACCGCATCATAGTTTTCCCATCTTACACCTCCACCTGCCTTTTGAAACAAGAGCCGAGAATGTGATGTTTTTTTTGATTGGCTTCCTCCAGACACTTTCGTTGGGCACACTGTGGCTTCCTTCTGGCTGGTGTGACAGGAGTCAGAGCCTCACTATATGAGCTCATTCAGCAGCACGTGGTTGCTATGGGTTGGACAGGGAACACCCAGGTGCCGTCTGCTTCTGTTCCCTCTCAGACCTTCTCTCCTGCTGCTGTCCACTTCCCTCCCTTCCCTCCAGCCTGACGGGCCTCTTCGGTATTCCTCACACGGAGGTAGCCTGAGCAGAGACAGTGCCCTTGCCGGCTCTCTGCCCAGAGCCCCTTCTCTCTGTGTGACTGTCTCCCTCGCCTCCTTCACCTCTCTATTCATGTGTGAGGTGTCCCCTTCTCAGCCATCAGCTGATTTCTCTGACCATCCTGTTTAAAACTGACTTCCCCATTGCCAACACTATCCCACGCTCCCAGCACCCCTTTCGCACTTTACCTCTCTCCTTAGTGTAACCTCCTAACATACTTTTTTTTTTCCAACTTATTTACATGTGTCAGTCTCTCCACACACACTAGCAATGTTCACTCCATGGGGGTGGGGACTTGCATCTGTTTCTCTTACTGTTATATCCATGCTGCTTCAAATAGTGCCTGACGTGCAGTAGGTGCTCACTGAATAGGTTTGAATGAATGAATGCGGTGCACTGCCGTGAGTGTGGAAATGCAGTACCAGAGTGCTATGGGAGCACACGGCAGGGGCTCCTACCTGTAACTT